TTATTTTATTTATTTATTTATTTTTTAACATTTTTTATTGATTTATAATCATTTTACAATGTTGTGTCAAATTCCAGTGTTCAGCACAATTTTTCAATCATTCATGGACATATACACACTCATTGTCACATTTTTTTCTCTGTGATTTATCATAACATTTTGTGTATATTTCCCTGTGCTATACAGTGTAATCTTGTTTATCTGTTCTACAATTTTGAAATCCCAGTCTATCCCTTCCCACCCTCCACCCCCCTGATAACCACAAGTCTGTATTCTCTGTCCCTGAGTCTATTTCTGTCCTGTATTTATGCTTTGTTTTTGTTTGTTTGTTTTTGTTTTTGTTTTTTAGATTCCACATTTGAGCAATCTCATATGGTATTTTTCTTTCTCTTTCTGGCTTACTTCACTTAGAATGACATTCTCCAGGAGCATCCATGTTGCTGCAAATGGCATTATGTTGTTGGTTTTTATGGCTGAGTAGTATTCCATTGTATAAATATACCACAATTTCTTTATCCAGTCATCTGTTGATGGACATTTAGGCTGTTTCCATGTTTTGGCTATTGTAAATAGTGCTGCTATGAACTTTGGGGTGCAGGTGTCATCCTGAAGTAGATTTCCTTCTAGTCAGGTTATTTTAAAGAGATATATAATGATTTACTTGGTAACTCCTATCAAAGATGTGTTTTTATTCATTTTTGCAAAGCAGTTTTGTTTTAAGGATACTTTTAACTGAACATACGAGGAAAAAGTGATTACTATTTACTACTAGATCAAAAGGAACTATTTCTTTTTATTTCTTTGCATTTTAAATTATTTTATATAGTTTTATATCATTATATAATTTAATTTACATAATTTACAGAAGAATAAAGGGATAATATAAAACAAATTAGCTTTTAATAAGAATTTAAAGTTACCAGATATATTTGTAAATAAATAAAGAACAAAAATCTTTCTCATGCATCTAATTACATACCACTGTCTACAATTAATATGTATAACCTTTGAATGCTCTTGGCAAATATTATAATTGTAGCACACATTTTTGTTTGTTTTTTTAGTTTTTGTTTCCACACAAAGAGCATCTTTCTTCCTTTATTCTTCCCAATTAGACCTGTGCACAAGAATATTGTGGTTATAGCGTAAGCCCAAATTCTCTTCCTAGTTTCTGCAACTGCTTTTCCTAGTTGAATGAGTAATCTTCTTGGTAACTTACAGCTTTGTAATTGAAACTTTCCCCATACAGTGACCGTAGTATCAATCATAGGCCATCATCTTTTAAGTCATTATTTTGCAAATACAGTTGACCCTTGAACAACACAGGTTTGAACTGTGCAAATCCATGTGAGTTTTTTTTTTCCTCAATAAAAGTACTGCAGTACCATATGATCAGCAGTTGGGTTGGATCCATGGATGCTGAACCATGAATACAGAGGGCCAACTACATACACGGATTTTCAACTGTGCAGGGTTTGGTGCATCTAACCGTTGTGTTCAGCAGTCAGCTGGGTAGGTTCTGACTTTCTTAATCAGTGTTTATCCCTCCTTTATTCTATTTATAATATAACTCTCTTCAGGTTACCTTATGCAGGGTTTTTAAAAAATCCGTTGATGCTTGAGAATGCATTGAGCTGAGAAGAGTAGTTTTTTTTAGAACAGTAAGAATCATCAAATAGTTTTGAAACCCAGGTTATGTGCAGTTGACTTCTCTTGCTTTCTCTTTGGGAAAGTTGACGGAAGTTCAGCCTTGTTCTTTTTGATACTGCCAAGTAAGGGAAATTTCTTGCTGGATAATACCAAGCCAATTCTAAACTTACAAAAGATTTATCCTAAGTTGTATTTCTGACACAGTTTTCAATTTTTTTTGTCAATTCTTGTAATACTCTTGGTTCTCCTCTCACTCCTTTTCTGAAACAGTTTGTGGATCTGCATCTTCCAAGCTTACAAAGTTATACTATCACATGTTGCCCAGATTTTGTATACTGTATTTCCCAGGTTTTGAAGGTATATATACCTGAAATGGGCATCATTGAATACGACCAACTCATCAGCTGTCATACATGAACTTAGAATATATTTAACATTGTAAATAGTGATTTGAGATTCCAGATACTTCCGTAATAGGTTCTAGTTTATCATTCCTTCTGGGTCTCCATTTTGCATGTGCATCATTAAATGCAACACCTGAAACATTTTTTGAAACCTTCAGTGGTTCAAAATTTTGTTGAAGGGAAGATGGCCATCTTTTTGCTTCATAATTGCAAGGTATCTTGAGTTTTAGATTTGTAGACACCAATTAGAATAATCATTCCAATGAACTTAAAAGATTTCTGCATCATCTGTTTCCTTCTAGTCAACATTGTGTATACACCTGCATTTAACACTTCTCTACTTAAGAACTGTATCAAATTAAATTTTAGCCCACAAACATGAGGATGAAAGAATACTGTTACATATCCTTTTAGCAAAAGAGCATGATCTGCATTCTTATAAAAATATCCATGATCCAGCCCTTCCTGCTGAAGAGAATACTGTATTTCCTTTTAGTTTTTAGAAATATATTGTTCACTCATTGATTGTTGAGTTTGAGAAAAATTTTCTAAGATGTTTCATCTGAAGACTTTGTCTGAGATTTCCCAGATATCACTGCCATTATTACAGTCTGAAGTGCTTGCTATCTATCTTTGCATGTATCTTCAGGTTCACCTAATAGTTATGAAATGCCTCCTCTGTCAGTTTTCTTCTTTTCCATTTTGGACAGAAGATAAATAGTTCTGAATGCTTAACTGTGTTCACGGAAAACTAAAAGCAGATTGAAGAGGATCAGGTCATGCCACCCTAAAATATGCCACTTTGATATAAGGATTATTTTGAGCAGAAGGCAGTTGAGAATCAACAGATGCAGGAAGAGTTTTTTCCCCTCCCATAAACTACCTAAAAGTAGGGCATACAGTTCTTTTTGTGAAGGTGTTTCTCCTGCTGTACCAGGGAGGGAGGTGTGACTCTTGTCCCCAGAGATGGAGAGTTGACACTGAGATGAGTTTGCACAAACAGACCCAACTAAAATAACCCTTACCTTCTATTAGTTCTACCACATATTTCCTAGTTTCTTCCCCATGATTTATTGATTCTCAAAGCCCCAATTTCCTTTTCTCTGTTAAAGTGGTATATAAACCCCTGAGGCTAACTGCTTCTTTGAGTTTTACTTCTTTTCTGTGAACTTCAGTGTATGTAAATATTAATAAAGTTTTTGTGCTTTTTCTCCTGTTGATTTGTCCTTTGTTAGCTTAATTCACAGGCCCCAGATATTCTAAGCTAAAGGGGTAGAAGTAAAATTTTTCCTTCACGACACAGATTACAAAGATGATGCCGTCAGTCTTTTATACCTTTTCGAAAGTTGGTATTTTGTGGAAAACAATAAGAAAAAGATAAGAAAGGTGAAGAGTAATGCATTAGTGATTTTTTCACTCTTGGACTATTCTTCTAGGCAATTAAATCATTCTTCTATTTTCTTACTATTTTGGTTTTTAAAAAAATCATAGTTGGGAAAAGTTGATGAGCAATGGTGAAATAACACCCTAGATGACAGAATTAGCAAAATATTTCAAGATTTAAGAAAAATAAAATCACTCAGATACCATAATGTATCTTAGACTTAAAAATGATCATATAGGCTTATATAGTAATTTTAAGATAGAGTAAGTTTTATTCTGTTTAAAAGTAATAAGTAAATTTTCCCTTTGTTGTTTGAAGATCCCTAGGAAATAATAAAAGTCATAAAATGTCAATTTTTAAAACTAGAACTGCTCAGGGAAGAAAATAAAAAACTAAAATTGTTCCTATGAACTCTGATAGTATACTGAAAGTTAATGGTTAATTTGGACAGTTAAATATGGACTTCCACTGCTCTCCAGCACACACATTAAACCTACTTACCTCCTACTACCATGACTGGTTTTTTACCCTTTTGTATTACATCTATACTGAATGCAGGTAGTTCTAAGAATGTTATTCCATGGAGTTTCCGCTCTAAAATACTTTTACTAGTTTTTCCTTCCCTTCCCTCCAAACTTTACCTTAAGAGATCTTCCATGGTTAAAAATGATTAACTGGAACCCTGTAGGTTCAAGATGTAATATTTAGGCTTTTTGGTGAACTGGATTAAACTAAAAATATATTTTATTTTAATCATTTTCATTGCAAACATTTCTGCTTTATGGCTGAGTATACCATGATGAACAAAATCTGATTTTTGGAATGATGTATGTTTTGCTTCTTTATATTTTTAAACAAAATGCCTTATTATTACTGCTCAGTAATGCTTTTTCTTAATGTTGTGCTCATCACTTGAATATTCCCTACCAGTTTAAAATTATTAATTTACTCTTTGACTGGTGTATACAAAATTTTTGAGCAGCCACTATAGTCAGTATAGTCATTTAGTTGTCTTTAAACAAAGCTGTAACTTGGTTTGCCTAGCATAGCAGTGGTCTGGGGACTTGAAGCACTTTCGAGGGTTCTACAAGGCCCTCCCTTTACCACCTACCTATTTTATGAAGCTGAATTTTCCTCATTTCAACAGAACAATATAGTGCAACAGATTGGATGAAGAAGCAGATAAAGAGAATCCAGCTGTTTTTATTAAGTTACTAATGAGATTTGCAAAAATGTAAAACCAGTACCACTCCTCTCTAAATTTTGGTTTAGAAAATAGTTATTTTTCCGTAAAAAAATATTTGTTAATATGCAATGGGTTTCTAATAGTCATTTTAAGGTAAATTAATAGATATTTCTTAAATTTCTCAGTTTGGGGTTTGTTGGGTACAGGTAAGGATTCCATCCTTAGAAATTAATTGGCCACACTATTTTTTTTTTGGCTTAGTTTGGAATTTCTTCACCCTGACAACTGCCTGAATGCCTTTCAGTTGAGGGATATTAACCAAAAGAAAGATCATTAGTCTATGAAATAATTTACTGCTTGCTTCTAGGCTCTACCCAATGTGTTCCTTATTTTGTGGGTAATTGTTCTTACCTTTGGCAAGTTTGAAAAACAAAACCTGGAGGGTTTGGGAGGGGTCTGGGATTTTAGGTAAATCCTAATCCCTATCTCCTTTGTTTACTCACTCACTCATTTTCCTTCTCCTATTCAAGTTTAAAGATGATCTGACTTCAATTGTACAGGGTTGTTGACTGCTAATAGAAAGGCCCTAATGAAACAAAATGTAACATGAAAGTGGCTTTGTTAAATTCCATGAGGAAAAATAAGTAACAGATGTCCCAACCTAATTGGATAGAAAAAGGTAAATAAGAATTGGTACTGCTTTTGCCGCTACATTGTGTCCTTTTGAGAAGTTATAACACAAGATATCTTGCTAACTTTCACTTCTTATATTGTAGTGTTTTAGAGCTTATAAAGTATATTCATAGTCACATTTCATCCTCAAAATAAACACTACTTTGAGATGGGTGGTATTACCATCATCCATCCTTTACAGATGAAGAAATTGAGTCTCAGAAAAAGTTCATTTCATTCATTGTAATACTGGGTACCAGACGCTGCATATTCACTTTGTAAGATGTGACGCCTTGGTCTTCCCTCACTTCAGCCTCAGCTTTTCTAGCTCAGGTTCACACGTTCTCTTCTTGGATTAGACAGTGCAAACCTGGTAGCACAACCACTGCGGGAAGTGTCAGCTCCTAGAGCGTTTGGCCTATTCTGTGTCTCACTGAATTCCGGAAGCTTTTAGTACTAGGGTAACCCAGCTGTGCATGTATTGGTGAAGAGTTTGGAATTAATATGAGACATAATGGAAACATTATTTTAGGAAATTGTTAATTTGGTGGTTCTGTATTGAATAGATGAAAGCAGGTAGATCTGGGTGCTAAGATACAATATAAAGTGAATCTTACAAAGTAAATGTTGCTGTAGGTGAGAGGTTCTGAAGGCCTGAACAGGAACTGATGAATTGAAAGACAAGGTTGGTTGTGGGAAATATTTTGAAGGAAGACTCTAGGACTGGGGAATTGATAAGACAAT